AAAAACATTTATATGACATCTGTAGACGATATTATCAGTAAACTTTTGTTTAATTCGCGGTTCGTATGTACAAGCCGAAAAATTCGTGCGCTATGCACTGCTACAAAATTAACTTTCATGAAACAACCAATGTTATTGAGGTTACAGGCACCTATCAATGTGGTCGGTGACATACATGGTCAATTTTCTGATCTTCTTAGAGTATTTGAACTAGCAGGATTCCCTCCGGATACCAATTTTCTATTTTTAGGTGATTTTGTTGACCGAGGTCCACAATCGTTACAAGTAATTTTATGATTACCTCGATTATATTCAGATTTATTTGAATACATTAGATATTCCTTTTTAAAATACTCTAAGGCAGTTTATCCAATAACTTAAATAATTAAGGGGAAATATGTTTCCTATTTAAATCAGTCTACCCTAATGTATACAAATCATAGCTTTACTATTTTATACGACTAATTTTTATTACTTATATTTGTTATATCTATAGTCGTTTACTAGTAAAACAATTATTTTTGTACTTGATAAAGGTGATTACTTTACTGTTTGCACTGAAAACGCGTTACCCAGAAAACGTGTATTTGTTACGTGGTAACCACGAGAGTCTATCAGTAAATCACCGTTACGGTTTTTACGGCGAATGTAAATTACGATATGGGAATCACCGTGGTCACCGAATTTGGAAAGCTTTCAATAGAGCCTTTGACTGTTTGCCGATTGCCGCAGTAATCGATAACAATATATTTTGCATTCACGGTGGTCTAAGCCCTCGTCTCAGGCGTATTGATCAGATCGATAAGATAAAACGACCAACGCGAGTGCCTAAATCAGGAATTATGTGTGATTTTTTATGGGCTGACCCATGTCCAGATATCCAAGGCTGGCGTAAAAATGAACACAGAAACGTATCATATGAATTTGGACCTGATTGTGTCATAGATTTTCTAAACAAATTTGGCTTTCGACTGGTTGTTCGTGCACATCAGGTAAAATATAATATTATCATTTCCATTCATTGAAAAATTAATTAATTTTGTTATATTTAAATTAATTCAAATAATTCTAATTAATTTGAGATAAAAACAGTGAAGGACATAATGATAAACTTGAAAGAGTACAAAAATAATATTTCAGATATTTATGCCATAATTGTAATATCCAACTAACTCCTCACACTGGTTACGAGAATATCTTAAAACTATTAAATTTAAAAACATTAGAAATACGTAGAAATATATCATACAATACTTTTCTCACTAAATTATTATTATTAAATAATAGGGTTCGTCAACGACATATTTTTGGATATTAATATTGTACTAAATATCAACAATATTGTATCGCAATANATGGAAAATAAATTTAATTTTAATTTGAAATATTTTCACCATTTCTTTTTTTTTCAAGAATACCGTTAAGTTACCATTGTTCTAAAAATCAGATTATGGTATACCAACCAAATCAGATAACGGTATTAATATAAACAATATGTAGATAATCGCTTTATCTCATAACGATAATCAAATATTTTCAAATTACTTTTTATTATGAAAAAATAAGTTTTCTTCTTGTTACAAGATTTTATCGTTATACAGAGTTTTCAGTAAGTAAGCAAACAGGTAAATAGTTACAAATAATGAGAACAATAGAAACCCGTTTTCTGACTTACTGAACACTCTGTATATTGTTTATATTAAATGAATGAAATTATACTTAATTGAATAATAATTTTATAGTTTCAGTGTTTTGGTTTTAAATAATAATAAAAAAAAAACCCAACACAAGGGGATCGCGGCACAGTGGTGACGTGCCATAGTTGGATCATGTATAATGATATCTGACTAGTGATTAAAATCACTATAAAAAAAA